ATATAGAGATAGCCTCACCTCTTCTTTGACAAACTGGATACCTCATCTTTCCTTGTCTTACTGCTCTCACTAACACTTCCAATACAATATTGAATAGGAGAAGTGATAGTGGGCATCCTTGACTAGTTCCTGTTCTCAAGGGGAATGCCTTTAATCTCGCTCCATTGAGAATGATGTTGGTTCTTGGTTTTATGTATATACTTCTCACTATGTTGAGAAAATTCCCCTTTATTGTCATTTTGCTGTGTTTTAATCAGGAAGAGTTGTTGGATTTTGTCCAAGGCCATTTTTGCATCAATTGATAGGATCATGTGGTTCTTGTTTTTTGCTTTGCTAATGTGATGAACTGCATTGTCTTTCTTATGCTGAACCATCCTTGTATATCTGTTGTGAATCCTACTTGGTCATGGCGAATTTTTTTTTTTTTACTGCTGCATTCTACCAGCCAGGATTTTAGCATCATGAGAGCTACTGGCCTATTGTTTTCTAATTTGGTGTTGTCTTCATCTGACTTTGGTATCAGGGATATATATGTCTGCTTCACAGAATGAGCCTGGGAGGATTCCATCTTTTCTATGTTCTGAAATACTTTATCTAGAATTGGTGACAGCTCTTCACAGAATGTTTGATAAAATTCACTAGTAAAATCATCTGGTCCAGGGCTTTTCTTAGTTGAAAGTTATTTATGATATGTTCTCTATTCTTGATGGCTCAGAGATTATAATTACAAACATAAAAACTGTATGGTAATCTCCATATGGAGATGGAGATGTTTGTCCACATAGAAAATGGCCCCTATCTGCCATTCTTTTAAAATTCTATCTACTTTTCATGGTTTCTGTCTTTTCCCAATTATTAGGCTGTTTTCTCTTTCAATATATTGTTTTTAATCCCGTTTGAGGGGAAAATCAGAGAAGGAACTGTTTCTAAAATAAGTACCATAATTTGAGGTAAAACTAATTTTGCCTGAGACCAACGTGGTGCCCAGACTGATGTGGTGCTCAGAGATCAACGTGGACAGAAGGAATTTGAGTCAGAACTTTTATTAAAATAATTAGTTTGGGAGCCACAGGAGCAGTAAGCTGTGGGCCCTGGCAGAAGCCACCAGCTGAGCCACTGTGGGACCCACTTACCAGGAGCAAGCAGATCAGTGGGAATTTAACTGTGTTTTCTCAAGCCCTGCTGGACCTAGAGCCCCACTGGGGCAAGCGCTGCTGGACAAGAGCTGCTAGGCAAGAGCCAGACAGCTAGAATTTGAGTAAGGACCCCATGTGGGAGCACACCTAGACAGCTGAAATCTGAGTAAGGTTCCTGCGTGTGCCTACCCTGCTGCCAGGCTCTCCCTGCGACAGTGCCTGCCCTGCCCCCTACTCAGCTCCATACCTGTGCCTACATGTCCAGTCAACTAACCTGCCTTTAATCTGGAGCACCTTGATTTGACTTAGCTACAAGAGGCTGCTTGCACAGCCCTGAAATGAACCTTTCCTGGAGTCAGAAGTTCAGAGAGAAACACAGGCAAAGTAGCTGCCTATCCGTTTTCTAGAGCAGTGTCTTCAGATAAAGAGCCTATCATCACCTCAGGCATGAAAACCTCTACCACAGCAATGCCACGAAAGAAGCGGACTATCCCACACCCTACACAAGCACAAAGCAAGATGTCACTCTCAAAAGGTGACATAGTACCAATGGATTTCCTGAAGTGAGAAAGTCTGATGGAACTTTCTGACACAGAATTAAAACAACAGTGATTTCCCATCAACAAACTAATGGATAGAGAAGCTCTGGTATATTCACACAATGGAATACTATGCTGCATTGAAAAACAAGGAATTCATACAATATTATACAAAATGAATGATCCTGAAGGACATTATGCTGAGTGAAACATCTCAGTCACAAAAGGACAAACATTGCACAGTGTTACTGTTGTAAAATGGGACTGATATCAGGGTAGGGCGAGA